AGCTGTGCAGCAGTGTGAGGTTTCCCACGTTGCGTGGGTCTGTCCACTGGTGCTGCTGGCAGGTGTGGAAAGGACTGAGGGCCCCAGAGGCTGGCTGCCACCACAGAAAATACATCCTTAATCATCCATTAGTCCGTTATTTTAGTGTGCATTCTTAAGGAGGTGGAATAACCTGCGTGCTGGCTGTTTGGAGGATTAAGCCTTCACAGTTAAAAGCTCATTTAATTCTTTATCAGATTAACTATTTAAAAATCTTATATTTGCTGTTCTGACTTATCAATATCCTAATTAAAGTAAGCTATGTTTCAGTAAAAGGAATGACAGAAATAATTATTGTTTGCACTTCTGAATTACATTTCCATGGGTAATGTTCCAAAGCTGCAACACATTGTATGTTCCATAATCATTTTTAAGTCTAACTAATCATGATTAAAGAATATTCTGCCATACTGAGTAGTTCCCAAAACATCCTGCTCACGTAACAGCTCATTTAGATAACAGGCACCATTGTGAATAATTGTAAAAATGAAAAAATTTAATACTTTGCCTCTTGATAACTGTGTGGTGCTGACTTGCAACTAGAGCTGAGAGATGCATTCTATTAAACTTTGTACAATTTCTGCCTTACTAGAATTAATATGAAATACCTAAAAGTACTAGGAGAGTGTCATACACTTTAAGTCACATTTTTTTGTATTTTATGATTGTTATTTAAACCCAAGCTAGAAAGAATTACAGTCAAATATCAAACTTCATTTGTAAAAGAGCTACAAATACCAGAAACCTTGATTTCAGGATGAGTGACTTTTTAAGGACTGCTGGTTTGTTTTTTTTTTAAGTCCATCATATTAATACTGTGTGTGAATTTTTCACTGGTATTTTTCCATGAGTCAGTGGTTATAAGGGATTATTAAAAATAAACCTGACTCCTTTAAAGCATTGCTACTATTGATTTTGTTTGTTTGTTTGCATGAAAACATCTGGAGGAGCCTGTAATATGGTAAGTTTAACCCACAGGAACAGGACAGATTTTTTTGCAAACTTTCTTGACCCTCATTGTTTTGTTTAAATTAGACCTGAATTCGTTGGTATGAATTAGTAGAAGAATTGCCTCTTCAAAGCAACTTGGTATGCAGCCTTTTTTGGTTTTGTACTGGAAAATAAGATGTCTAGTAGGGAAGAGATTTATTTTACAACTACTTTGCTGTACTTACTAGTTTGATGTAAAATTCTGGTACACCAAAGGTTGGGAGTATTGCATGCAACAAGATCCCCTGTTCTGCACACTCAGATATTTTTTTTTCTCTTGCTTAAAGCACACTTCCAATTTTCTCTTGCTTAAAGCACACATCCTCTTAGATGACTATCTAAGGAGATAGTTTGTTAACTTTTGGAGGAGGACAACACAGTATCCTCTAACAGCAGCTAAGATGTTTCTTGGAATTCATGGAGATGACAAACATTATTTCTCTACACTGTTGGGAATAACTGTGATACTGGTGCTGAAAGTCATGGTAAGTGTATAGCACTGCTTGTAGAGAATATACAAGCCTAAATACTGATCTGACTAGCTCTAGCTGGTTCTTACAGGCACTGCTAAATCTGTGTAATAAGGGGACTGTTTTACTTAAAGGTTGGTTCCACAGTCAGGAAATACATTGCATAGGCAGAAATAGGCAGAAAAACGCTTTTAATAATTGCTGTTTGTATGAGTAGCAAAAAAGTAAATCCAAAATGGACTGAAGTGAGTAAGGAGCATGTGAGTTTCAGATTCAGCTGGTAAGTTCCCAGATTCCTTTGAAGCTTTTCCATTTTTCTGAATGGGATGAGTAATTTATTTTTTTCACCCAGAGTTAAAATATCTTGGATTCAGCAGCTGTTCTTCCTGCATAATATAACCTTCTCTTTTCTAGGCCTAAAGATAGTTCCCTTCACTGGAGAAAGACAAAATAAATTTGATAATGATGTTCATATTGCCATTTCTCTCCATGGCATGAAGCAGAAATGTGACAGATTTTTATTTTTTTACTCTGTCCATATATCCTGTTTGAAGGAACACAAATTTATCCTGATCAGGATGAAGGAATAAAAAACCCACAACAAGCCATTCTTTATTATGATAAATGTTGGACTTTCTGAGTTTCATCTATTACTCTCTACCAACTGTTAATTAGAAGTGAAAAAGAAAAAAAGAAGGGGGGGGAAAGTGATGACATATCACCTAATTAGTTTATATCTTCATTTAGAATGGGAGTTACAGTGCCACTATTCAACCTCACTTGATGATCTTGGCCTCCTGTCAGACTTCAGACCTAATCATTGCCCACTTAAAACAACCATCCATCAGTGATGGTAGCGCTGTCTTATTAATGAGGAGCTGACATGAAATAATGACGCAGATGCTATTGATCTAGACCTGCCTTTGCCAGGCTGACCACAAAACATTGCTAAGACATTCTCCAGAATTTAGCTGTAGCTATTCTTATCTGCCTCTCCCTGTCTTGTAGAGGTCACCCTTCATAGAGAATATTTAAATACCATAAATTGAAAAAAATATAGTTCATAATTTAGCAACCTGGAATAGTAGGAGATTGAAGTTTGTCACCTATACGAAAGTATTGGCATATTTCTGCAAATCAGGAATGTAAGTTCCAGTAGAGATGCCTTGAGGATCTTATCTCACCCGTGTGAGAATTGGCCTCATGTTTTATCTCCTGCTTCCTTTCACTTAACCTGACGCTAATTCACCTATACAAAGGTATTGGCATATTTCTGCAAATCGGGAATATAAGTTCCAGTAGAGATGCCTTGAGGATCTATCTCACCCGTGTGAGAATTGGCCTCA